GCAGGAAATGTATGGAATTCTGCAAGGGCAAATACTGCACTTGGGAAGGAATAACCCCTTGCACTGATAAAAGCTGGGGAGGCACAGGCTGGGTAGCAGCCCTGCTGAAAGAGGTCTGGGTATCATGGCGGAGAGCAAAGCTGAACGTGAGTCAGCAGCAGCAATGGAGGCCAAGAACATCCTGGATTATATTAACAGGTCTATAATCCGTAGATGAAGGTCTATGATCCGTTAGACACAGACTACAAAACTGCATTCAGGTTTGGGTTTTCCAGTACAAGAGAGATACTGTAACTGATAGTAGGTTCAGTGTAGGGGTCTGGAACTCTTGCCCTGTGAGGACAGACTGAGGGATCTGGCCTTGTTGAGCCTGAAGAAGAGACAGACAGCTTCAGTGGGACATAATAGCCTTCTGATACCTGTGCATTATGAGGGCAATGGAGCCAGGCTCTACGCAGTCAAGAGTGGGTGAGAACCAACCAGGTTAAGCTGAGATGGGTTCAGATTGAATGCAGGAAATTATTCTTTTTTTCACACAGATGTTGTGCAGCCTCCACCTTTAGCAGTTTTCAAGAAGTAATTGGATATAGCCCTGAGCAATATGATTTGATCATATAGCTGACCATGGTCTGCCCAAGAGGCTGGACTAGAGAGCCTTCTGAGGTCTCTTGCTATTTGAATTCCTCTGTGATTCTGTGAAGGCAGTCATGGTCACTTTATTTTGTAGCAGTAGGCAGGTATTTCCCACTTGACAGAAAGACAATAGATAATTATGTTGAGAAGATACTTTTGATCCTGGGATTTCATAATTTGTTTTATTTTGATAAATTTAACAGTTTTTCAGATATAATTGACTGTGACCAGTATAACTTGCTAAGGGCACTTCTCTTCATGTTTTATTGCATTTCAGCAGTTTTGAGGTTTGAATATTCTGTTGTTTAGCCATGTGTTTGGATTTCAGTCACTTACCATTTGTGAACTTGGAAGTGTACCCAGATTTCAGAAATACGCTGTTCTCTCTGTCCAGCCTCTGCGTCGCCCTGACTCCTCTGATGACCGCTATGTGATGACCAAGCATGCCGCTATATATCCAACAGAGGAGGAACTTCAGGCAGTCCAAAAAATTGTTTCTATTACTGAACGTGCTTTGAAGCTTGTTTCTGACAACATGACTGATCATGAAAAAAGCAAGAACAAAGAGGGAGATGACAAAAAAGATGGCAGTAAAGATAGGTATGTTTTTAGTTACTTATTAAGAATTTTATCGTTTGTTTCTGAAGTTCTTTCTTACACTCCGGTCAGTGAGTCCTCTAAGGATTCTCTTCTCTTTGGGTTTTGATATGGTATAAGTCACTATGGTCTCAAGAGTATACTCCAATTTTACTTCACTTTTCTATCTTCAGGATTAGTTTAAACGTTTTAATATTAACTTAAATGCAACTTTTAACTGTAATTCACAGAGCTTTGAAAGGAGTTTTACGGGTAGGCGTTTTGGCTAAAGGTTTGCTGCTCCGTGGAGACCGAAATGTCAATCTTGTTTTGTTATGTGCTGAGAAGCCTTCAAAGACATTACTCACTCGTATTGCTGAAAGTCTTCCCAAACAACTTGCAGTAAGTAGCATTTAGTTTATTGGATTCTAATTTTTTTAAAGGTACTGTAAGAATCTAGCCTGAAGTCAAGTGTCTGCAGGGCTCACTGTGCCACATTTATAGCTCAGGTTCAATTTCTTCCAATTTTCTGCACGTTTCTATCTGAATTAAGGGACTGTGCTGCATGTTCTGCTTTCTCTGTGTTGTGTTCAGACAAGTTAATGCCAGTGGTGTAGTATCAATCATAATGTAGATTCAATTTAATTGGGAAATAGAAATGAGCAGAAAACAGACTATTACCCAGTAACTAGAAGCAATATAGGGAATTTGTGCAATGATACAGGAAACATGCTGCCTGAAGGTCAAAATTCTCCATTAATGCCAGTCTTTCTGTACTCACATCTTGTTTCCAATTTATATGTGTTAGCATTTCGTAGTTTCACAGTTAGTGAAATAAGTGCTGTGTGTTGTTGGTTTTTTTTAATTTTGGCCCTTTAAAAAAAAATAAATAACATGGAGTCTTAGACTATTCAGTGGAATTAATATAAACCATTTGCTGAATTCCTACAGGAAAACAAGTACAGAATAAAGTCTCTGTCCGCTGCTGCACAAAGCCTGTCTACCACAGTTATAGAATGCTTGTCACAGCATTTCAATGCAGCCTGCTAAAGTGTTTGACAGAAATCAGTGGCATGGTAGAAGCTTTAGCAGAATCAGAGTAATTAGAAAATAATCTTGAGTTTGCTCTTCTTCGAAGTAACAGACCAGAAAAAAAAAATTAAAACTACACATCTTGGTCTGAATTTGTGGAGAAGTCACTTGTCCCTCTTTTGTTGAGTAAGGTGACTGAGGTGCCTACAGCTTCCTTTTAAGGGTATTATTAAATGTAGTTGCAAGAAGCGATTCAAAATAACTACTGGGTTAATTACTCTTCCATTTTTTCACTGGTTTTTATTTTGCCCTTGGTCCTTACCATGTTGTGATAGCCAAGTATAGCATGTACCTAGCAGTACCCATCCTGTAACTGTGAGCTTGAAGAATCACCACTGCACCTTCCTGCTTTTTAAAGGCTCCTGTGTTCCAGTGAGAAACATACCAGCTGACTTTTTACATACACTGAGGATTTTCTTTATCTGAAACAGTGTCAAGTGTTCTTGTAACAAAACTTACTTGTATATTAATTTCCTGTATGTGAAATCTATTTCTTTTGCATTCTTGGTGACTGCTGTGTATTTTCTTTTGTTATTTGGAAACAGTATGCAAATTCATACGTATATCTTAATTGTGTATGCTTTGGTTTCTTTGAATACAGAGATACCTGCTTCATGTAATTATGCTGTGTTTATCGTTCTGTTGAAATCCATTTTCTTCCCCATACTTTTCGTGACTACATGCTAATGGAAATTTCTGTTTCTCAATATTTAGGTAATAAGTCCTGAGAAATATGATATCAAGTGTGCAGTCCCAGAAGCAGCAATAATTTTAAATTCATGTGTGGAACCCAAAATGCAAGTTACTATCACACTGACATCTCCAATCATTCGGGAGGAGAACATGAGGGATGGAGGTTGGGAAGCTGTTAAAGATGTTACTTCTTTCTCACCCATTTTTTTTATGTTTTATCTATTCTGCTTAAGATGACATTAAGGTCCTGGAAGGCAACATGCTGGCACATGCATTTGATCAAAACCTTATTTTTCAACAAGTCTTGGTAGAGAACAGTTGGTTAAAATAAATGTTTATATGATTCATTTATTTAATTTTTTAAATTTCTAACTTTATATCCAACCTCAGCTTTCTGGAAAAGGTACAAAGTTGAATATTTTTTTCCTCACTTTTAAAATTATGTGGAAAACTTAAGTATTTTATAGCAAGTGGCTATAAACTGGCTTACTAGAGCAGTCTTCCCCTAAGAGAAAGATTGTATGGTTTTAGAAAATTAGATCACAGGTTTTTGGTTTTCAACTGGATCAGCATTACTATCATTTACATATTCCAAATAGCAGTGCCACTTTAATTGCACTTTTATAATACTTTGGATGGTAACAGTGCTTCTAACTTTAAAAGACTATGCAATTTTTTCCAGCTCTCTGAGGTTGCTTTTTGGTCTGGAGTGCTTTTTGAGTATATTTAGGCTCCTGGTATTACAATCAGTCTTCTATCCAACTGGCAAACCCAGACTAGTACAATAAGAAATGGCTTTGTGTTGACCTGAAGTGGAAGGTGGAGCTTGTAAATCGATTTTCATTTCTGAAGTCCACAGTTTCTCTGGTGCCAGCAGTGTTGCTTTAGGGTCTGTTCTGTAACACTTTGAAAGCTCCAAAAGCTTTAAAGCCAATAAGCATGATTAATGTCTGCAGTACATTGGTTCTTTTTGTTTGCGGGTCAGATAAAATTCACTTTTGTTTCCTTTCAAACCTGTATTTTCCTAGTTGAAAGAGATAGGGCAATCAGGGTTCTGGTGTTTGACAGTGAACATACAAATAGGAAATCTGAGGCTATCTTAACACTTCTCATACTGGTTGAAAAATGTGTGTGTGTATGTATACATGTGCTTGTGTATATACGTATTATATAAGCCACTGAGGTTTTTTTTATTTCATGTCATCATTACATGTCCTCTAAAATACCTTAGGTTTTTATATTGCATTAGTAAATGTCCTGTAGCTTTGACTAGGGCATTGTAAGCAAGCTGACTTGACAAAGTCATCTTCCATAGTCAGAAAGAAAAATCCAGAGATGCATTCTCTGGTTTGGATGACTTCTGAAGAGTCTGTAAGAGTGCTTTGTACATGATTTTTCAGCTATACGTATTATTCCTAGCTGCAAAGGCTTTGTACATGTACTGTCACACTCAGCCAATTTTACTTGTTTTTTTTTACAGTCTAAAGGTAACATGACTCTTGGTTTATCTGTGCTAAGTCAGACTTCACAGATTATTTAAGTTTATAAAGAATACTTAAACTTAAAACATTTGATTATTAAATTAGATTAACTATTAAATTAAGTTAACCTTAAACACCATGTTTATTTCTTAACATACTGTGTAAAAGTGTAATACTGATCCTGCCACAATACTCTATTTCAGTTAAGTGGTTTCAGGCCTGAAATTCTATGATGCAAAATGAATTTCAAATTACTGCCATCAATCCCTTAATTTACTGCACCTAAAGGAAACAAATCAGTATTTTTGTCTGACCCACACTTGAGTTAAAATTATCATTGTGAGTTTATTCACTGCTGAATAAAGAACCTCTAGGCAAGCAAAATCAAGTTAGATTTCTCTTCAAGACACTGAGCATCATAAAATGGATGTACAGAAAACTTTTGAAACTAGAGCAAATAGAAGACTGAATTGCAAATTATTGCAGCAAAGAAGACGTTATCATGAAGACTGCTCCTTATTTGCTGCAGAGTAACAGTATGTGTTTGTTTTCTCTTACTGCAGCTTCTCATGCTCTGTGTCTTACAATGGTTTAAAGGTTTTTTTAGCCTGCTTGGGGAGCTAGTTCAGGTGAAAGGAAGGCTTTACCGGAAGAACCAGTTTGAGTAAAGATGAGACTGAGACTTGCACATGGAGTAGAATCATGTTTGATGTGTAATAATCCCATTATATGATAAAAGGCTAAAAAAAAAGAAAAAACAGTGAAATAAAATTGTTAACCGCATAGCTACTGTTCCTTGCAGTATTGTGCGTTTGACAGTTTACCAAATCTAATGTATTCGACATGTTCTAACCCCTGCTGTGGAACCCTTCCCTCAGCAAACAAAGTGTACATACTTGTAAACACATATGTGTGCGCGTGTGTCTTTTTTATCCTTAGCTAACAGCCCCGGTCCAAAGCCTTCTAGCTGAGAGACTTGATTCCTGTCAGGGGTTGCTGCCAAGACATCGGAAGGATTTTTGACCAAGGTTTTCTACAGCTCAGTGTCACACCTGCCATGCTTTACAAAGGAGGGGGTTTGGATGCATAGTCCTAGCATCTGCTGTGCTCTGTGGTTTTGTTTTGGTTTTTTTTCTTTTCGTCTTTGTCTCTCTCCTAGAATTAAGCAGTGTTCACACTAGTCTTGGAATAGTTGGCTGGGTAAGATGTATTTCACATAATGAAACTTACCAAATTTATATACCTGTTAACTTTCAATGAAGAGGTAGTGTGGACACAGCATGTCTAACTGAATAAGATTAACCCCTTATATTTAGGCTAGTCATAAGTTATATAGGGTAAGAATTCGTGCTTGTGTTTTGCAAATTAATTCAGTTTTTTGTCTTAGCTTAACAGGGTGGTAGGTTAGGCATCTGAATTTAGTTAAATAGTCTTTAAGGGGTTAATCCTGACCTGTGAAACAGATGCAAAAATCCACAGATTAAATATTACAAGAGTTTCCTTGATACCTTTTTCTTTTTTAGTTCATGTACTCTCAGTGCAATAGGTGCCTTGGCAACTTCTGACTTTCAAGAGTCTTTACAATTTTCAAGGGTATTCATATGATATCTATTAGTAGCACATTTTAGGTCAACATTTCCAGCACTGAGAAAGATTCTCTTCTGTGCACTTCAGCTGTAATTCTTTTTAGTAAAATTCTATTCCAAATTGAAGTTTCTCAGAGCTAGAAGTAATTGGAGTTTCAAATTATATAATTAATTATTGTGCTAAAAGTTGGCACAGTGTCACCTATTTGCATGTTAGTTTTAAAATAATGAAAACAGTTGACTGATTAGGCTACTAGGTCCAACAATCCTTGTTTCTAATTTCTCAGCCTTACTTTGCCATTTTTTTCCTGCTGTGGGTTTTCTCTAAATGTCTTTTCTATCCAGACTGTACTTGTTACCTTACCTAGCACCTCTCTTACATAGGTTTTGGTTTGGGTTCTTTTAACTTTGTTCTGTTTCAAAGGAAATACTGCTTTAAATGTGTTCATTTGCTCTGTAAGTACCTTGTTAGTGCAGTTTTTCATTTTTCTGCTTTAACAAATAGTTCATCAGTTCGAATATCTGTGTGAGAAGATACCTCTGTTCTTCTCAGCTTCAGTCTTACTTTGAAATCCGTTTTAGCTCTGTGCAGAGCAATGGGACTATCCCTTAAGTAGTAATGCTCAAATCTGAATGTAGAACTTCAGATTAAATGTCAGTATCGTATTGCAAAGTCATACCACCATGTTAATTCATGGCTTTTTAACTCTTTGTATAGTAAAGGATCCTAATATTTATTTTACATTTGTGTAAAATAGGTGATTTCAGAGCTGTCTTTCTGCAGCATCCCTAGAAGCTCCTTGCAGGCATGTTCCATGAGTCCCAATTATTCATTTATTTATTTATTTTATTTCTTTTGTTCTCTGACTTATCTACATTTATATCTTGCTGGAGTAAACTATTGTTCCATACAGCCAGCTCCTGTGAAATGAGTGTCATTGAGTGAGGGCTTCTTGATTCATCTTTTCTAGTGAATCACCAGTTGTCGTACCGATACAGTTTTCATAATTACTAAAACAGAACTACTAAAGCTGATCACTGCATTATATCTGTAGAGTTTTTAAGGAACTCATTGTTCAGGGGTTCCAGTTTAATTGATTAAACCACTCCATGTGGTCTGTTCCTTTCTGGTAAAAAAGCAATCAGCTTGGTAATTAAATCCTGTTCTGAACATTTAAAAAGAAAAGATCTACTATATTTATCTTTCAGACATTCTGCTTTGGTTTTCAGACTCGCTATCTTTTCTTTTTCTTGCTGAATCTTAAGTAAAGCAGTCCCTTTTCAGATCCTTGCATGCTAAATTACATTGGAGCACATATATTATGGGCTGAGGAGTTTTGTTTATATCAGTAAGAGAGAGAGTACTAGAATTTAATGGAACTCTGTAATATTGAAGAACATTTCATATTCCTTTAGTCAGGTTTTTTAAGCAAAATAATACCAAGTTTAAGGTATGATGAAAATAACAACATTACTAAACATCTAGTGCTTTTAAAGTTTGTTAATACTTAGATTTTCCTTTAGGAAGAGGTCCTAAATAACACATAACCATTAAAATTTAAAGAAACTAAGTTTCAATGTTTCTACTTAGTTAAAGTGGATTTTTGTGTTCCTTCTGTCTTGTGTTCTCTGTGCTGGTGCACTGTGTCCAACCATCCTTCCTTCAGTATTTAATTTTAGGGGATATGTGTTTTTCCAGTGTTAGTTTAAATAAAGAAGTACTACGCATTGCATAATCTGCAATGCATTTGAAAATAACCTCAGAGCTAAATATTATATGCTCTTGAACTTTATACTGGGTTGATCCCCTAATCCCAATTGAATGGCTTTTGTTGAACATTCACATTTGTTACTCAAGGGTTTAAACTTCAAATGGCATGTGTGACATTGAAGCTATTTTAAGGAAGTGTCTTGCTCACCTGGTCAAACACCCATTCCTCACTGCATTTTGCCAATTCAATCCATTTTAGATGTAACCTCGGGTATGGTGAAAGACCCACCGGACGTCTTGGACAGGCAAAAATGCCTTGACGCTCTGGCTGCTCTACGCCACGCTAAGTGGTTCCAGGTTCGGAACATCATTTTACTTTCTTCGTGTAGCCTTATGAGAGATTAGTTCCGTTGCACTATAAATGTTTAATTGTGTGAAAACACTTCAACGTTGTTCATGCTAATAATACTTAATATTTTTTTTTCTGGTCCCTAAATTTAAATGTAGAAGGTTGAGTATGGAGGAACTGCTTTATGCAGTTAATGGCTCATTTGACACAGTATTTTTTTTTCTGGTCATTGAGGAGGCGATGTTGAAAGCTTGACTCGCTTGGGGTGATCATATGTTGTATATTTGTTACATATTCCATAAGGCTGCAGAGTAACTTTGCTTTAAATAATGGAAAATGTGTTTAAAGCTTTGTGTTTAAATTTAAGACTTTTTTTCCTATTTCTTTAAGTGTATTAAGTGTAAAGGTGAGAAGCAACTGTTTGGTTTAGTGACTTTGCCTTCTGGCAAAGGCACGATAAAGAAACCAAACAGATTCACTTGACCTTTCAGTCTCTATACCTATTTCTTAGATCTTTACTTTATCCTTTTTATTTCTAATATAGAAAGATACTGTATTTATTGTTACAAGTGAACATAGGTCAAAGTGTACAGGGGATCAAGAAATGTTATTCTTGTATAACCTGTGCACTTTGACTTCTGCCACCTTAAATTACTAACCCTGTATAAAATACTGCTGTAAATGGCAGCTCATGGAATAAAGTTGTAGAATTACTTGTTTCGATCTTGTATCTGAGCTTCCATTGAACAGTGGTGTTTTAGTCTTTCAGCAATTCCTATTTTGCTGGAAGTGCTGGGATTAATTAATTTGATTTTGTATTGCTCTCAAGGCTAGAGCTAATGGTCTGCAGTCCTGTGTGATTATCATACGTATTCTTCGTGACCTTTGTCAGCGGGTTCCAACTTGGTCTGATTTTCCAAGCTGGGTAAGTAATGTTCTTTTGAATGAGTATTTTTAATGCACATGGTACTGCAAGTAAACCATAGGGAAGCGTTACTACAGTTTTTAAATGTAGACTTTTTCAGGAAGTGAGGAGGGGGTTTGTTTGGTGGTTTTAAAGTTTTTTCCCAACAAAAAAATCCAGGTTTCCTCTGAAGATTTAATGTTGTTAAGCTTTCTCACTTGAAACTGGAAATTTTTTTCTCAAAAAAAGGAATTTTCTTATTCTTTTGTGTTGTTGGTTGGTCACATTCTTGTTATGGATTTTAGCTTTTTTTTTTTTTCCATTACTCTGTATATAATAATTTTTTCTAATCACCGGTTGCTTGGAGTTTACTGAAACTTACCTAAAATAATGTCATCTGTGCCCAGATAGTTCTGTGCTAACAGAAAGCTACTTGAAAGAAAAAAATCACAGTAATTCCAGTGATCATTAATAATGTCCCTTCTGCGAGATGAACACTGTGTATCTGTCACCATTAGCGTTCAATCAGCAGAACTTGAATCTCCTAGGTTTTATTTGGTTGCCTCTTCATTCTTGCTGCTTAGTGTTCTTGGGGCATTCCTTTTGCATTTACTACCTTAAAAGATGTTCTCCAAGGGTGCAGCTTTTGCTCCAAATATTAACAGATGTTCAGTCTGTGGACTGGATGAAGTTAGTCTGAAGCAAAATCTCTGAAACACGCATCATGTGGAAGTACACCTAGCTCTGATTTTTGTTTCACAGACAAACCCTGTTGCACTGTGCTGCTTCCTTTTCAGTTTTGACAGAAAGAGCAGTAGTATTGTCAAGACAGTTAGAGCAGCTGGAATTATTTCAATGAGAAATGTTCTACAACTGTACCAGGCTTGCAGGCAACTTTATTAAATCACTTATGATAGTTTTTATTGCTTCTGGAATAAATGTGGGATGGTTATTTCTGGGTTTTAAGTATTTAAAGTTACAAAAAATAGTGACAGTTTCTGTGCTACCTTTCACTGTACAAACATAGCTTAGAAGAAGTAAGCAAGTGTCCTTTCAATCCAACTATGATGCTGAATTGCCAAAAAGTAACCTCTGGCATAGCTGTGGAAAAGCATCCTTAGAACTGTTGCAACACACAGAAGGCACATATATGAAGAACAAGTTCTCACATTATTTGTTGTAAGGCACTTCCAGAAGAGAAGAAATTAATGCATCAGTATGTCAGGCTTAGATTCATCTCAGTCCTCTCCAAAAGTGATTCCTGATTTGCTCCTGGTACCTGATGCGTTGTCAGTGACATGTATCAATATGGAAGTCTGTGTTGTCAGCTGTTTTCTGGCCCACTGGCAAAGTCTTACTGAAAAGAAAAAAAATAACATCATTAAAATGGTGGTTTTAAATACATACATAATTTCTGCCAGTTAGTGGTGGAATTTTATAGATCAAAGAAATCAATTTTTTTTTTTCTCAGAGAGCTTCTCCTAGCCTGTGTGCTACAAGCCTGTTACAAGCCAAAGAGATACCAGAGCTTTGCAAAAATAATCTCAGTAGTTGTGAAAATAAAATATATTAGGAAGTCTAAATACTGACATTAGTAGTGTTTATGTACACTAAAAAAAACTAAATTAAAATAATTTTGTCAGCTTCCTAGAAGTTAAAAGAAACTATTATTCAAGGTTGGTTTTTCAAACTTGAAGTCCAATATTTTGTGCATATAAACATCAGGGCATTGTACTGGATATTCTCTTTGGATTAAGTTGTAGGGTTCAGTGTATTATGAGGATCCAAAAAACCTAGACTTGAATAAATGCAAAATCATTATCTGCTTTTTTTCTTTCCTGCTACATTTTATTTCATATTTGAAAACAACTATATCACTGTTGCTAAGTTCTAAGTGATATAATGGAAATAACCATGCTCAAGGATCAAATTTGTCAGTTAAATGGAGGTCAAATAGAAAGGAATGGGCGCCCTTAGGGACGGATTGTAATCATCACAGCCTGTAGTTCCTTGCACGCATCAGAATAGGCATTTACTCCAGGAAAGTACAAATAAAAGGCAACATTTAAACATCTGTAAACTCAGTGGGGAGGGGAAGGACCAAAAAACAAACCTCAAAAAGAAAACTGACCAAAAAACAAGAGATATTGTCTGAGAATTAAATTTGCACAAGAGGTAGTATTGAAACATCATTTCAATGCTGCAAAAGAAAATCAGGAAAGCTGTTCCTTACTTTTACAACTAGCTTTTGTAGGTTTTTCTGGAAAAAATAATGTCTAATAAAAGTAAAAAATTGAAATGTTCACAGAAGCATATTTAAAATACAGCTAATGACTTAAACCATTTTAACTAATATAAAATAAAGTCTAAATTTTAGAAAACCTGTGTATCATCATTTTTACACTTGTTTAACATCTGAGTTAATTTTGGCCAATACCCAGGAGCAAAACATGCCGTGAACTTCAGTTTTGCTAAACTGAAGAACCAGTAAGCACTTAAATGTTGAAATATAATTAGGTTGTTGATGCTCTAAGTTTCTGTACTCTGGTACAAAAAAAAGCCACAAAAACTTTCTAGAGCATCCTGTTAATTTCATTAGATACATTGTGTGCAGTATATTCATGCAGCTGACAAGATTCAGGTGACCCCACCATGTTTCGTACACTCAGAAAAATGGCTGGATAAGTTGTCTACCTGCACAGGCAGGTTACTACTCTATACATTTCTATAAAACTTTTGAAAAACTTGTGATGAGAAGAAGCATATCAGTACCAATACTCAAATCTTCCACCACCTTTCTTTCTATTCATCTTTTAAAATAAAGCAGTTTTTAACCAAAAGCATTCTATGATGTAAGGTTTTTCAGAACTCCAGATTAAAAAGTACTGTATTGAACAACAGTAGCAGCTTTTTTCTTGTTTAATGTGTCTTGGAAATTGACTGTATTTTCTTATTGTTGGTCTAGGCTATGGAGCTGCTTGTGGAAAAAGCCATTAGCAGCGCTACTGGACCACAGAGTCCTGGGGATGCACTGAGAAGAGTTTTTGAGTGTATATCTTCAGGGATCATCCTTAAAGGCAAGTTGCATTTGATCAGTGTCTTGATACTCATTGTTAACTAATGTAAAATCTGTATTCTTGGTTGAAATAAGGTAGAGATGTGCTACTAATTAGCCAAACCATTGTAGGTGGTCCTGGCCTTCTGGACCCTTGTGAAAAAGATCCTTTTGATACACTTGCTGTAATGACAGATCAGCAACGAGAGGATATTACTTCAAGTGCACAGGTGAGGAAACGTGTGAAGTAAGTAAATTTGATGGCTGTTTATTTTGGGGGGGGTTGTTCTGGTTTGGTTTTTGGTTGTTTGAGGTTTTTTTATGGAGCTATGAGGTGGAGATTAATTTTCCTTTCGTAGAATATTGTTTGATCATTCAGATACTCATTCTTAAGCTAGGCAATTAAAATGTCACAATGGAGGATGTAGAGTAGTGTTCATAATTGCACAAAAGTTAACATTTTTTCCTGAAAAGTTTGGAGTACTCCCATCTACATATATCTGTAAAGATGCTCACAGCAGTATGTTACTAAATTTAAAATTACATTGGCATTTAGTATTTTATTAACAAATCAGTGTAAGTTTTATTTTTAATATGTGTTGTGTGCACTTACAGTATTGACCATTCATAACTGCAGCTTAAGAGGTTACTGCCCCTGCCTCTTCATTTGATCCTTTTGCTAAAGATTATTACTAATGTGTAATGGGACATTTAACAGGCTTTGGCTGTCTCAGTGCAAGTCCAGCAGCTCAAAACTGATGAACATTATTTTTACACTAAGATGATAACACTTTGTACAGAAGCAGTGAATATGACACACATATTTTATTGTGTTGACTTTGTTGAAGGAAGGAAGAGGTGATAATGAGAACTAAGGATAGTTTCATAGACCATTAATGTTCTTTGTTTGTTTGACAAAGTACTCAAACATCTTTCTAACAGAAATGTCTTTTTTCTACCCTTTTTTAGTTTGCACTGCGACTCCTTGCATTCCGTCAGATACACAAAGTTTTAGGAATGGATCCATTACCACAAATGAATCAACGCTTCAACATCCATAATAATCGTAAAAGGAGAAGGGACAGTGATGGGGTTGATGGATTTGAAGCAGAGGGGAAAAAAGACAAAAAAGATTATGATAACTTTTAAAAATGTTTGTCATCAGTGCTAAGATCAAAGGTGATAAAATGTCCATTTGCTGCCTTGCTTTTATTTCATTCATAATAATGTCTGTTTAAAACATCCAAAACCAACTCAGAAGTTAGATTTGGAAGAGAACATTGTAGGTCTTCCAAGAGATTCTGAATAGTTAAATGGATGTACTGTTCCAGACAAATTATGGATGGGAAGACTGCAAATGGAAACTCTGTTATACTAAGAAAAATTAGTTTTCCCTTGTTGTATTTTCTTTAAATATGTTGCTAACTTTAGTAACTTTTCTTCTGTTTTTTTTTGGTCTTTTTTATTAACAAGTGCGTTGTCTTCTTCTCTTGACTTTTTAATGCAGCATTTGTGCTTCTGTTGCTAGGTGTATTTTGACTTTTTATTTAGAAGTTTTTCTGTTTGCCTTTGACACTAGGTGTATAAGTTACTTTGTGTTAGATAGATAAACTGTTCCCCTTCCAGTTAATATTTTACAACATTTTTTTTTGTAAAGTGAGACTGCAGGATTATGTTTTTTTTTCTAAACGTGAAGGGGTTACAACACATAATTATCCTGCCATTTGAGTGCTCAGAATTAAATGTTTTTTGCCAATATTGTGGCATTTGTCTCCTTAGTGTGATATAACGGTGTAATTAAGACAAATTTGTGTTAATCTAATCAAGTTTGCTGTTAGTTGTGCATTAGCAGTATAAAAGCTAATATATACAGTATGGTCTTGAAACAGTTTTAAAGCAGCTGCATAATTGATCAGAGTTTTGCATGATGGTTTGTTGTTGTTTTTTTTTTAATAGAAGGGCTTTTGAAATTTATCACCTTAGTTTAAATGCATAGGTCTTTGTACGATTGACTTTGTGACATAGCAAGGCCAAAAAATAACTTTCTGAATTTCTTTTCTCAACATACAAGCAGAAGCAGGCAGTTCCCATGTAGACAAAGTTAGTCATTCTTTCAGTAAACTTTGTTGATATGATATTAATGCCTCTCAGCCCTTAAACTAAATGTTGGTCATATCAGTGCCTGTGAGGTTATTCCTAATAGCTATTCCTGTAATAACCATCTGTGATTATTTTTTTTTCAATAATTCAAAATTTGAAAGTGAAGTATTACTGAAAAAGTGAAGGTTATCAAAGAAAAAACCCAGAAAATTATTTCATGTGGCCATAGTGTATGCTTATGTCTCTTTCAAAAAGCTAAATATAGCAGTGGTGTAAGTCAAGTTACATCATACTGTTGATGTATGCTCTGGTACACAGGTGTGATTTGTTGTCACAGCACTACAGTGGAATACACAAATAAAAACTAAAATTTATTAAATTACTAAAATTCATTATACACTGGGAACTGAAGTTTCACTCATTCTGTTCTATGTGTATTATGCTTTGTTGCAAACCCTTAAAACACAGAATAACATAGACTAACATTCCGGTAACTAGTTCATTACTGGCTGTGGGAGAGCATCACACATTACAAAGATCACTTGTTAACTCCTGGTACCAGTTATTGTAAAAAAAAAAAAAAAAAAAAAAAAAAAAAAAAAAAAAAAAAGAAAAAAATTTCACTTTGAGGTCGAATTTATCTTTGACCTTTTTAATAAGTAACTCTTGGGGATATTTCTGTTTGCAACACCTGCTGCAAACAGCCTAGGCCTATGGAATAAAAATACAATATTTTAGAAAAATAGAGTGAGTCTGAAAATTTAAAGGAACAATGTAGTACAGTGTTCTTCGAGCATCAGACTGCAATTGTTAAGGAATTACCATTGGTTAGCTAAAAAGGAAGGTTTTTTTCACTGTAAGGAAGATTTCTTACTGAGTTCAGCATCAGAAATGTAGAAAGCAGAAGTGCTTTAAAGTTACTTTAAAAAGGGGTTACACTAGTTTCTGTTGTCCAGCATTGATGCATAGCTTCAAGCATATGCTTGTTCTTAGTTTGTTTTTCTTTAAGATGGTATTATGCTGACATGGTGTATAGTAAGCCATTACTATTTATTTTGAAAGCTACAGGTGCTATTCATGTGGCTAGTCTGACTCCATACCAAAGTTTCTTTCCTTATAAAGCAAACTTGTCTATTCAGGCATGTGACCCTAAAATTTAGGATTGAAAAGGATGAAGATGTATTTTGGATTTCCTGTATTTTTGTTCTATGGGCTTTTAACTCTTGACCAGTTTCTGGATCTTTTGAAATCTTGTATACTTAAAGTGATTCCACATTAAATATGAAGCTGTGACCATTATTTTTGCACTGTGTG